AAATACCACATATTCTGTCACATGTGGAAGCTAAAAACTCAACCAGAAAGAAGAATTGTCATTACTAGTGATTAGAAAGAAGTGAGTGGAAAAGGAAGGTTGAATTTGATCAGTGCCTGCCTTATGATGTATGGAAATATCACACCAGTGATCACCCACTAATATGTGCATTTAATGCATGTCAATAAAAATAAAATTTTATTTCATCAACTTAAAAAAAAGTTTAAAGGTTGTGAGAGTTTCTACTTTCATAGTTTCTGTATCCCATCTATGGATAGAGTGAAGCATGGGAGTACTTGCTCTTTTTGCCCCAACCTCTGCAGAGGGGCTTAAAGGTGCAGATACCCAGAGGAGATGAGAGAAGGGTATTGGGGGATGGAAGCAAGCACCTGGTGCATCTTGATGAGGAAGCAGTCGATGAAGTCTCGGGGATGGTGGGGGTCAAGGGATGCCTCATTGATCTTCACTCTGGATGCAACAAAGTCCTTAAGATCCTCTATCATATAGTAGAGGTGTTTGTGTCTTCCTGGCAAATATTGCATGATTCCTGAGTACATCTCATAGAGCTGCAGGGAACAGGCAAAGAGGATTATTTAGGAGTGGGTACTGGTCACCAGGCGGGTTGTGTCTAGAATCAGGAAGCTGGGCTCAAAATGCAGTGCTGGGTCTGGGAACCAGGTGTGGCTTTTGGCTTCCTAGAGATTTGGGCATATTGATAGTTGTCTTCCAGGGCTGTGGGAAAGATTAAGTGAGGTACAGGCAAGTGCCTATTGAACTCAGACTGGAAGTGGGCAGAGAAGTAACTAGTGGTACCTGTGCCCAGGGGGTGCTCATCTCTATGAAGCTCTCATTGATCATCCGCAGCAGGTTTAGGAATTCCTTGTCCTCATAGTCAAAGCGGCTTCCAAAGACAACCGAACTGATGACATTGGAAACAGTACGGCTTAGGAAGAAGGTGGGATCGATGGGGGCACCTGGTGATGGAAATTGTCTATGTTGGAGGTGAAAATTAGTAATCAGGGATGTGGAATCATCCATTGGTAGATTTGGGTCTTGTATCTACTACGTAATAGTATATGTGAATTAGCTTATTTGGGGGTTTGAGTCTAAATTTCTCAATCTGAAAAGTGGCTTAAAGACCACCTCATTTGTTCATGCAGATTCCATGTTATGATCCATGCAAAATGCTTAGCACAGTGCCCGACATGGATTTAACACTCAATAAATGCTGGTAAGGCTTAATTGTTTCATTGTTACATTGTTGCTTACATGCAGTTGTGGATAAGAGTCATAAATTTGGGGCTGGGGTTGTACTTAATGGTAGAATGCTTGCCTAGCACATGTGAGGCACTGGGTTTGATCCTTAGAACCATATAAAAATAAATTTTAAAAAATGTATTGTATCTGGGGCTGGGGTCATACCTCAGTGGTAGAGTGCTTGCCTAGCATGTGCAAGGCCCTGGGTTTCATTCTCAGCACCACATATAAATAAATTAAATAAAGGTTCATTTACAACTAAAAAAATTAAGAAAAGGGTACTGTGTCCATCTATGACTTAAAAAAGAAAAAATGACTCACAGATTTGGGAGGAAAGCAATGGTAAGGGCCATATTTTAAAAAGAAGGACTGGTGGTGCACCTTAGTATTAGAGTGCTTCCCTAGCAGGCATGAGTCCCTGGGTTCGATTCTCAGCACTGAAAATAA